AATCCAAGTCCACTGGCCAAGTTCACGCCTCCTGGTGCCTTCAGGGAATGTTGCACCACATTCCTCCACGAGTGCAGGGGCACAGCTGCCATCTCGCCATGGGCTGCAGGGAAACTTCTGCTTGGACACCTTCTTCTCCTTCTTCCTCAGCAACCACCAGCACCACTCTCCTCCTCCAGCACAGCTCTTCTCCCACTCCTTCTCTGCTCACAGGTTATGAGTTCTTTCGTATGTTAATCGCTGAGACACATCTGTTGTCCCTCTAATGGTTCCATGGCTGGTTTTGGGGCAGGAGGGGCTTCTCAGCTTCTTCCTGGAGCCACCCCTGTGGCCCTTCCCCCGCTACCAAAAACCCCACCAAACAAGAACAATTGTGTATCGTAAGAAGTGCACATCTAATGCAGAGAATGTAGAGGTTAGGATATTTAGTTCCACTAAGATACTGGTGACTTTCATGGGCAAGAAAAATAGTATCTATAGAGCAGATATCTCTACAGGCTTTTCAGTGACTGCTTAGAGTAGCAAACACATTGGGAGTGTTCTGGAGGAAAAAGGTTTTGCAGGCAACTTTAGTTTTCTTACTAGAGTTGGAAGAAACTATAGGGCTAAAAATAATCAGTGGGATTCTTGACAGTTTCTCAAATGTTATACTAGGTTTTTTCTATCTCTCTCTTGCTTTTTTTTAATTTTTTTTTTTTTTTACTTTCACCTTCACATGAATGATGAATAAAATCAGATTTATCCAATTTAACTAAATCTTTTGTCTTTCTGAATAGATACACATCACTGATATACACCATTTAGTTTATTGCAGCATTTTTGGTCAACACAGCTCTTCAAGATGTATGTGTTAAAACAGCTGGTGCCATGCTGCTGTAGGGACACACAAGGGTGTCCTTTCGCAGCAGCCTTTCCTCCCTGCACTGATTGTTGAGGTCTTCACTAGTCAGTTGCTATTCTGCTGCCTCTGTACTTGCAGAGCTTGTAAAAGCATGAAAGAGTGATGTAAAAGTGTCATAATGTAGAAAAATAGGACATCCTCATGGTGAATCCAGGACTGGAATTGTAAATTCAATTTGGGGAGCAGGAGGAATGCAGAAGAGAGGAAAATAGCATGCCAAACACTGATTACATGGTAACTGATGTACTAGGTAGACAGAAGGGAAGAGCAGAGTGATGCTTTATATCTTGTCTCCTGTTGTGCCTATGAAAGTATCCATTGCTTCATGTTGATCAGAATATCCCTCTCACCCTTTCAGTATTTCCAGTACAATGTGAATATATCAGGTCCCTTAGTTCTCTTAAACAGCTTCATGGTTTTACTTTGGTGATTACAGGAAGCTGGAAGACATTTTGGATTTTTGGTACCCTTACTTCCATCTGTTTCGTCATTTCTTGTTCTCATTAGAGAAGGTTGTTATCTTCGGCATGTGATAGCTTGCATGTCATCAGGAATCAGAAGGTGCATTAGTTTATTATGAAGATAAGGCTGAACAAATTGACATCAAAAGAGAAATTACATGGGAAGCCTATCTCAGACAACAAATTAACTTCATGTCCAAAATTCTGATTTGTGCAAGAAAATGCAGTTCAGTTGCCTGAGTTGTTATATATGTCGTTTCATCCTTTCATTGATTTCAGGAAGAAACTGGTTAACTGGGAACAGAGAAGTGGAACCTTTACAGTCTGGTGATAAATGTCATATACCCTCTAGGCTTACAGAATTTTCTATACTTGATACTATAGCAGGAGTCTGGCTTTGCTTAGAAACATGAATAACTTTGTGCAAATAACTTCTTTGTTTATAGGCCAAAATTAATATTTAAAATACCTCAGTCTTTCTAATTAACTACATTTTCAATTAGGTAATGTTATTGTTATTTATATGTTAACTCAAATGTGGTTTTTTTCCTTCCTGTTAGTTGTATACTAAAGGTTTTTAGGTGCTATACTAAATGATCCATTAATAATAAAAAATAACTATAAACACCTGGAACATAAAAAGACTAGACAATAATAGAAGATAACTGAAAACATTTATTGGAAAACAGTTATTCAAAAAAAGCAGAGAAAAAACAAAGCAAAGCAAAACAAAACCAAAAAAACAGAAAGCTTGTATTTTTTACAATTTCCTTCATGTGCAGAAACACCTCATTATGCTACTGTCCAGGATAGCTCCTCCATAATTTGCTTTAATAAAATGCTTTTACATTTAGTCAAGGAAATGCTAAGAGGTTGCCTGTCTAAGAGCATGGCTGAAACCATGCATGGCCTCTGAAACCTCTATTCTTGCAGAAAAGAAATTGAATTTCAAAGTTCACATTCTGGTCCTGTAGTTCCTTTATTGCATTTGATGTTTGTCCCTGGGGGTTTCTATACTGTTGCAGCTCCCACCTTCACTATTTTTCTACCACTCCTGCACCTTATAACTTTCCATTTCCTATTTCAAATAAAAATCCAAGAAAACCAATTTCTTCACTTAGATTCTCTTGTAGAAGATTAGAAAAAATTACGGACTCCAGTATTGGCACCAATAACTTCTACAATCACAATTAGCTTCATGACAAATACTACTATTTACAAATTCTTTGGCACATAATGCCCATGCAGTTATGTAACCTGATCTTAAATTTTCACACTGAGCTCCTCTGTGTAAAGCAGTATGCTCTGGAATATCTGACACTAAAGATTATTATTTACTAGTGAAACAGGATCCTGTAGATGCTACAGACATAAGTAAAGGAAGGGCCTGACTTCAGTGACTGGCATCTGGGGAAGTGATCAGTGATACCTGAGCCAAGTGGGTATACAGTGCTACCTTATTTATCCAGGAAATCCATTTTAACATGGAGCTGATACTCCAGGGGATTTTAAATTTCCTTTAGACTTAAAATGCTGTAGTCAGCGGAAGACAAATGGCTGAAAACCCTGAATTACACAGGATTTATACACAATGCTGCTTCCTGAAGCTGTAGTTGGTGTTTAGAATTGCCTGCATATGGCACACAATGCTACTGAATAGAGCTGTAGTCACGTACATGGCAAAACCGCATCTACTGGAGAGACCTCAGGGTCCCTGATGCATCTTCTCCTAAACGCTGTTTGTTTGTTTGCTTTACACAAAGGAAATAAAAAAATCAGCATTTAAGAGATCTTGCCTGTCCCATGGCTTCTGAAACTCGATTTGCCTGCCTTCTTGTTTGTGCCTTGCCTTTCTCCTGTTTTCTCCTCATCCTGAGAGAGGGGATTGAGCAAGAGGCTAGGTGGGTGTTTGGCTGTTGGCCGAGGCCAACCCACCCAGGTACCATTGATACAGATGGATCTTTTTGTCATAATGATTTTCACTATGAGAGTGGTATGTAAGTGAGAGGCTACTATCAAAAGGCTTCCTGTGAATAAGAAAAGGATTTCAAAAGGAGCAAAGAGCCCATGCTGTGTATAGAATTATGTAGAATAAGCTTGCTGCTTGAATGCAGGGATTAAGTGCAGCCTTATATTCACAAAACTTCTCCCAAATACAGGGCTCGCTTTACACAGAAAAGATGTTAGATTCTTACTTCATTCTTAAGCAATGCTATACCTGCTGAGGCAGAGTAGGTATGTTACATATAATGGCACGCTGAAGAAGGTCAGTGATATATTAATCTGGATGTGTGCCATGTGCCCGTGTTTCTTGATGTTTGAAAGTTTAAGCCTGAATACCTCATCTCTTCATGAAAACTGAGCTTTTCCAATTTCAAACTTCTGTAAGGGTGCAGGACAGTCTTCTGTAAGGGTGCCTTAAAAGGCAGTTTTAAGTTGATGTTAAGACAATCAGTTGCCACCAAGTTTTGGGGACTATTTTACTGAAAACAATTTCTTTTTGTAGATAATTAATGTTGTTTTAGGCAACTGTAGTTATGAGTGCAACTTTGTATTTGGGGTACTGTTGTGTCTGAGTGCAAGTACAGACTCATATATGTGTATCCTAAGTGATTCTTCCCTATTCCTCTACACTTTGTGATAATGAAATTAAGGTGTTCATTATACTTAGAAATATTTGGATTTGCTGACAGGGTAGGGAGGAAAAACACAGAATTCAGACATGACCCATCTACCAAGTGGTAACAAGTCATTGCAGGTTAGCTGATCTCTGGTAACTCTCCCTGTGCAAGGTCTTAGCCTGCAGCATACACAAACAAAATTCAAGTTGGTTTAGCCCTTCAGGTAAAGTCTGACAATTTGGAAGGGATTACATCTTTTATCCCTTAAGCAGATAATATCTATTTAGCAACACTCATTCTGCTCATAGCACTGATGTGATGCGGCGGTGCTGTGGAGGGAAATGACACATCTCAGTTACACCAGGGTTTTTACTCAAGCACGATGGGGGAATAAAAGGTTTTTGTTTGGTTCCAGCTGTCTTTTGATTTGGAATATAATTTAAACATGATTAATGGAGTTTGTGCACTACTTGAATTTTCTAAAATATTTTGTGATTTCCTGAGTAGCTTGGGCAAAGTTACAAAAATTCTTCAGTCTGACAGGTTTCATGGCCTCCTTTTCAAGAATTCAGAATTTTCAATGGTGAAATTTTCTGTAGCCCTTTGCCTCCAGTGATCTGCTGAGTTCTGTGAAGTAGAAAGTTGATATTTGTGTTTCATTTCTCATGCTAATCATAATTAACCCAATTTACTGAATTATTCTGGCAGTATATTAAGTAATGTGAGCCCTACGCCAGTCCCTCAATTGGGGTTATTTTGGGTGCCCACAGCAACCTCTTTGAACATGCTGATGTTCCGTACTGTAGCTACTTGTTGGTTTGGGGTTTGGTTGTGGTTTTTTAATATTTTTTTTTTTAATTACATTGAGTTTCTGTTAAAAAAACGATAGGCAGGAATATGTATCACATTTGTCTTCTCCCAGGAGATTTCATTCCTTTTCAGATCCCTAAGAATTTACCAGTGGTGAAGCACTGTGCATTTACTGACAGAAGGCTTGTTTTTTTTCTATTTAAATACCTTTCATCAGCATCTTTGAAGTAGCCCACAGATCTCCAGAAGTCTACGGACTGGAGCTGAAACCCACCATATTATCATAATACTGGTTCCTTATCTTAATTTTCTTTAATTAAAACTATTAGATCATATTTGTATATTAAAACTGGACATGCATGTGTATACAACAGCAAAGCGAAGTATTAATATTGAATCAAACAACTTTGCTCTCTAGAAAAACTTCAGAAGGCAATGCCAGTGGGAGTGCAACATTCAGTCATAGAAACCTGTGAAGGGGAGGACACAAATTTGCAACACCTGCGTGATGGCTGAGCTCATTGGCCACAGCAAACTGCCTTGAAACTCTGGGTCGTTATTGCATCAGCCTCTCTACAAACCTATTTTTGAGAACGACACCCTGATGCTGTTGCACTTGCTCTGTTCAGTTTTTTTTCCAAAAGGAAATCTGAAGTGGGATTCATCACACCAAACTTCAGACATCTATCTTGAGGTGTTCTTAGCTACGCTGAGTATCTAGGTCTCTTGTTAATCAGTGCAGGTCACGTCAGTGATTATCAGTGCCTAGTGGGGATGATTAGATTTTTTGCTCTAATTTGTTGCAGCCCTGATGCAGGCAGCCTGTAGGGAATATGCTTGTCATGTTAAGGCCATTTTACAAGAAAAGGCAAATGCTGGGTCTGTGGCTGCTGGAAAATGCAGATGAATCTTCATATCAGTGTAGGTAAATATGTTGCCTTCCCCTAGTTGGAAATTAGTGTCAACTGCATTGTTGAAAATATTAATGGTGAAATTTTATGAGGTCACATATTTGGCACAGTGCCAGGAAACCTTTGGTGTGTTTGGTATATCTACTTTTCTCAGCCCACACCATTTTTCATAAGAATGTCTAGGGTCTGAAATACTTCAAAAAACTTAAAAACTTTAAAAATACTTCAAAAACACAAGAAAACAAAAAAGGGAAGCAAAGCGAAACCAAAAGCGAACTTTTAATACAGTTCTTAAATCTTCTCCTGGAAACACCATGGGTGGTTGATAGTTCTGGCTTTTTTTTGTATCTAGTTTTGTATTTAAGGTTTTGTGTCCCATCGTAGTGCACTGACGACTCGTTATTCATCCCCAAGCAGAGAGAATCATAGAATGTGTGGGGCAGGAAGGAACCTTTCAAGGTCATCTAGTCCAGCCCCCCCATGGTGCACAGGGACCTTTTCTACTAGATCAGGTTGCTCAGAGCCTCATTAGGCCTGACCTTGAATGTCTCCAGGGTGGGGTCTCCACCACTTCTCTGGATAACCTGTTCCAGTGCTTCACCACTCTCACTGTAAAGAACTTCTTCCTCACATCCGATCTAAATCTATCCCGCTCTAGTTTAAGGCCACTGCCCCTGTTCTATTGCTACACATCCTTGTGAACAGTCCCTCCCCATCCTTCCTGTAGCCCCCTCAGGTACTGGAAGGCTGCTATGAGGTCTCCCCAGAGCCTTCTCTTCTCAATGCTGAACAACCCCAGCTCTCTCAGTCTGTCTTTGCAGGAGAGGTGCCCCGGCCCTCGGATCATTTTTGCAGCCCTGGAGATATTCACATAACTCCACAGCAGTCTGCTTTTTTTTCAGGCTAAAGTTCAAAGCTTTAAAATCTATCACATCTTGGAAGTGCTCCTCCCTTGGTACCAAGCTTTTTTATGAGATGCCAAAGCTCCCCATGAGCAGAGCCTCCCTGAGGCTCCCGGGGAGCCCTCCCTGCAGCCCACCCTGGCTCGGAGGCGCCGCTGGGTCCGTACAGCTCCCTTGGCGTCAGAACCGCCCAAGCGAGCCATGGAGATTCGCAGTCTGCGGCTCCCGGGTTCTCAGAAACGGCCTGCGGAGAGGAAGGGCCCGCTCGTCCTGGGCCGCGTGAGCCGGGACGGCCACGGGGCACAAGAGATCGAGATCCTGCTCCGGGACGCCGCGCGGGCTGGCAAGACCGAGCGCCCGGGGCCAAGGGAAGACCCGGGGATGATGAGGGGAAGGCCCAGG